AAAGATAAAGATAAAGATAAAGATAAAGATAAAGTTAAACATAAAGATAAATTTGGTGGTCAGACATATTCAAGTGCTGAAATTTAGCAATATATTACTGTACATTTTCAAGAAAAAAAATTCATCAAAAAAATCATTTTCTGAAACAAAAAATAAATTTCAATAAAGATAGTTTAACAAAATTAATGCAATTTTTAAAACCAAACTGTTTCGGTAGAAATTCTCGTATTTTCTATATGAAATATTGGACAATCGAAAAAGTCTTTTCGTATTTCTAATCAAACTTCCCTTTTTTTATAATAATAAAATATGTACCTTTTTGTCATTTTGTGATTGGTAGCACTGGAGATATGCGACTGCAACGATATCTACTGACAAAATACGAAAAGACTTTTTCGACTACTCAATATTTTTTGTGAAATGATTTCATTTCTTTTTTTAGCATAAAGCCGTTAGACAGCTATCACAGTAATCATATTTGCATCATTATACATATTTCATATAATTTTATTATCTTCACTTAAAAAGTTTAATTTGTATCAATCATTATACAACAGTTGAAATGAAAAACATAACCTCACATTTTTTTTCATAACCTCAAATTTTAAATTTAATTATCTTTATTAAAATACAGCAAGCAAATAATAAAATAAAAGCAATCAGCGCCACAAAAACTTACATTGAAATTCATTAAACAAGCGCTGAACTATAGACACAGCAATACAAAGCGCCGGTAACCCTGAACTCAAAATAACAACAACCAAATGCAAGGGGAATGGAGCTGAAACCCTGCTGCTAAAGGCTTTGAAGGACGCGCACTTGAATAATTTGCATGCAAGTGCAATTCCAATAAACAAGTACCAATATAACAACAACAAAATCTGCAAAACAACAACAACAGCCACACTTAGTTATGCAATGCCAAACAACGCAACCGCAACAGGGTGGAATTATAGCAAAAAAAACAAATCTACTTGTTCCACTTTTGCATACCTTTAGGAGCGTAATGCACAATAACAATACCAAACACTTGACGCACACTCGAAACTGAAACTGAAATTGAAATTAAAATTGAAATTGTAAATGGAAATTTAAATCGAAGCAGGTTAAGTGCGCGGCAACAACAAATTCAATTACACAAACAAAAACGCCCAACACAAACGCATAAAATTAATATATGCATATAATTCAACTTTTCCCGCTTTTATGTGTCACACATTTATTTCTTTTGTTTTTTTTTTTTTTTTTTTGTTGTTTTTTGTTGCGGCGAATTTCGGTCTTACACACTTTTGGTCGCAGCGCAATTTTATTAGCGTTTTCATGCGCGTTCTTTTATCCATTTTTTTATTGCATTGCATGCATATAAATTTATATTTGTTTTTGTGTTCGACATTTTAGCGTCTCATTGCGTCTCCCAACGCACGCATAAAGTTCGAAGCTAATAAAATTTATTGCGCTGCTTTTTAGCGATAGCGTCAATCAAGACACCCGCATAGACGCTTAGCAAGCTGGAATTGACAGTAAATATGCGCGGCAGCGCATCCAAATATGTGCAATAGAAGTCAGCTTTTAGGCGCCTACGCGCTCCTTCGGCTGTTGACTGGTGGAGTGTGAAAGAATCTGCTCGATTTTTTTTCGATTTTCAGTTCATCTCTTTTGAAGTCTATAAAAATTATACGCGTTTTAGCACAGCCATGAAAGCGCTAACATATTTTTAGGCTCTTAAAGGGAATTATTGGCATAATAAAAAGTGACATACCTTTATGCCTCCTAAATACATTTGGTTTGCACTAAAATGTGCGTAGTTAAAATCACTTAAGTGCTGCAGCGTCTTAAAAGTGTTCGTTAAATGCAAAGTGTGGTTTTCACAGTGGTGGCTAGCATTAACTTTTTTTTTAGTTTAGTTTAGTTGATTTTTTTAATATTTGGACGCTGGGGGATATAAACCCCTTGACGTATTTCCACGAGTCTGACTCGTGGCACAACTTCTGTGCCTAACATGATTATCACGACTCTAGCTCGTGGTGTGTGGAGGTGTACATTTGATGAAAGCAGAATTGAAATTTTTCCGCTCCTTTCAAGTAATAAACATTGTTGCAGTTGAGTGCATTATCTACTGTGTAATTTTCCATACTTTTTGTTAAGCATTAATATTAAATCGTAGTATATTTTTTTTTTTTTTTGAAAATTTGTAAAACTGGTTTTTTTAGTGCAAGTTGTGTGCTAACAGTTGGAAGCGAATTTTGTTGCGCTAATTGATACATCAAGGGGTTAAGAAAGATACTATGTGGATTTGTAAATGTTGTCTAATTTAATTATCATATATATATTTTTGAAGTTAAATGAATTATAAACTTTTCGAATTAATTTTAATTCTTTTT